GTACTCCTTACGACACCTGCAGATGTTGTCTTTGTCGCAGTAGATGTGGGAACTGATCGGTAGACACATCCCCAACACATTACAAGGCTGTCCGATATGGCACTCAACTGATCCCAAGACACACAACCAGACAATCAATGAATAGATTCACAAATCATTGCAAATATGAACGAAACAAACCTTTTGTGAGAAGAAATGACAACAAAAGACAAAGTGATGTCAAATACTTCTTGAGATGTATATCGTATGACACCATATTGTGTCCAATAATTGACTCATTCATCGGAAACAATCAGATTTGACGGCAAATCAAGTGTTGATTGCATTGAAAGTACAAAACTATTGAATGATTGAATGAGACGTAAGGCAAACCCAAAGCAACAACTGTTTCGCTGTTTGTATTGTTTTTGGGATTATTTGACAAAATATAACATAAAATAACATTCATTTCAATACAAAATACGTCTTCATATGACAAACAAGTGTTGACTAAACTTCTCAGTCTTTGTTTCATTCACATCTCATTCATTCACTTCAATGTATAGTTCACTTAAACTTAGTATTTATGAATGTTTTGTAATTAAATTAATTAACATTTCATAATGAATTGCATTTTACATTGAATTACAATAAATACGACGTTTTGTGAGCTTTTCATTCAACACTAGTCTGTGATGTGAGTCATAATTAAGTGGAAATTTGTTAATCAAATAGCATTGAAACGAGAATTTATAATTCAATGACAGAAATAAAAATAAAAATAGTTTTCAACTTTTCAACACTATTTGCTATTTGTTACTTCATTTCCCCATTCATTTAGTTTCTACTATTTTATTACTAATGTCTTATTCGCATAATTACAATGTATTACAAGTTATTTTGTATTTTACAATCACATTAATACCCTATTCTGTGGTAACTATTTATCTCAATATTATAGCCATAAGTAGAGTATTATTGGTTGTGATCTCAATATTAATTCTTTGAATATAATTATAAAACAATGAGATTTAAATACAATTTTCTGGAAAATGCATTCAAATGAGCCCTCATTTTGTGGTTTCCTTTAAAATGAAAGTTTAAATGAATGCTTACTTTAGATTCATTTCACCAAAGAATGATGAGCTCAACAAATAACTACTTTATATGTCATTAATAGATACACACAAGTAATAGCAGGCAGTTTGAGTTCAAAGACCTGGATGTTTGCATTTTTTGTTGTTTTCTAAAGGACTAATCAAATATATTTTATAATATATGATGTAATTATAAAGTTTAGTCATATCAACAGGAATTTTATGTTTTGAAGCTCATATTTGTTTGAATTTTTGTTATGATTTCAATGACTAAATATTTTAATTAAGAATTTCATATTCAATTGTATTTTTAAGTTAAAATAAACAATTTTCACAACATTTTCAATATTATCAATTGAAATCATAACAAGAATTAAATTGTAAACTTAATTAATAGAGTAATTAAATGAGTATCGATATAGTATTTTAATGTAATTTTATTGCATTTAAAAAAGTTATCGAAATTATTGAACAAATCAATTGGTTTTAACCAAAATTTGATGAGTTCTACAATTATTATAAATTAAACAAAAGTAACAAAATATAACATTATATAAACAATATATTTATAATAAAATGAGTCTTTATTATACAATATTAAAATAGTTATTTAATTCGTCATGAAATAAGTATTTTGTGGTATTTTATGATATTTTCTTCAAATCATTGTTTTGTCTTTTATTGAAGATTTTGAGCGAAATTTTATGAAATTCAAAAGCAGTACAAATGATTGCCGACAATAAATACGTGATCCGCAACGTGTTGACCAAAATATAACGATATGGAAGTATATGTAGCATAGAGTGAGTTACCGGTGCTATACTCCGTTCCACTCCGAAGAATAACAGACACCGAAGAATCTCAAACTGAAGAGCAAATGGTCTGAAAAGTTACATAATTTTAGTATATTTTGCTTGAAATTGAATTTTATTTTTGAAAATTACTTATTTTCAAGAAGAAAGCCAACGGAAGTGATGGACACTAATAATGCAATTATGCAAAACATAACAGTGATTTGTGTCAACTCGTGGTATCGTTGTGTCAATTCGTGATAAAATATCAGAATAACAGCGAAGTGCCAAACAGTGTATATCTTCTGCAGGATATGTATCTTTGGGTTCCAATACGTGACCGGCTGTTCAATCTGACCATCAATTGGTTCTTAGTTATGATATTTCTTAAGATTGCTTCACTATAATGTCACTTACATGCGGGATATCATCGAGATACCCGAGTCGTGGTTTCCCAGGAGCCCACCCTGGTCCTTTGAACGGAATCATTAGCTTATTCTTCCAGCCCTGCGTTGAGCACATGTTCTCAATCATTGCCATCCAGTGATGCATTTGCAGGTAAAATGGATTATAGCTCTGCACGGGTTTCACTAAACCATAAACTGCCGGTTCATTTGGGTCTTCGGGTTCAAAGGTTCCTAGCATTCGGTCCCATATAATAAAAATTCCCGAATAGTTTTTATCCACATATTTCCTGTTGCGGGCTAAGTTTGAAAGTTATGATTGAAATTCAAGTGATACACAATTATAAATGAGGACAGGGGTGTTGGTTTGCATACCGTGGTGTACTCGATGATGACTCGGGGAATTTAGTATAAATTCTAAGGGACCTAATGTAGTGACAACTTCTGTGTGCAACCAAAGCATATATAGCTCTCCTAACTGTAAATGTGCTAAAAATATTGACGGAGGAATTCCTGACAGTGCCAAAG